CATTATAAGAAAGGCGGGGGGGGGGAAGCTAGAGGAATAACTGTTAAGCACAGATGGACTGTTATCTGTCTCTCAGGAATGCCCAAGGTCATACCAGCATGAGACCAGGAGAGACCCAGTGGTGTGTGCAAGAAGGACTATGGGATGGAAGGGGGGTGGTGAAGGAAAAAGAGGTTAAGTAGAGTTTGGTGCACACAGGCTTTTTAGTTTCAGCAAGACTTTGGAGACTGCATACTACTTCTAGATAAATGAATCTTTCTTTGAACTTATCTGAGTTTCAAGAGTAATCACATTTGTTGGGGACTGAACATTGCAGTTCATCACATTACCATCCTAGTCCTTGATTAACATATGGGATGTTTTCTTCACTCAGGGCATAAGTGTTAGATTAGGATCGGAGAGGCCAGTTTCAGCTCCACCTTCCACAAATGTTCACTTAGTCCAATCAGTCCCACAAGGTGGTGGCTATGGGGAGTCTAGAATGCTTGGGCTGAAGGTGGGATATAACCTGACATATAAATTTTAAAAAGTAGGGGTTGGTATTCAATAGCATCTTTTCCCTTTTACAGCAGGTCTTCTTGAGTTTTCTTTAGGGAAATTCAAGAATTTGTTGTTGAATGAAACTGTCCCAGCTGAAGCTGTGTTGAGGAATGTTGCCAGCAATGTGACTGTCGTCATCTTCCAGATCCATGCCCACCACAGAAATGTGACCATTTCCTTTGATAAGGTAATCAAAATCCCATTTTCTAACAATAATGTAGACCCAGACATGTTTATATACTCAACAAAAAGCATTGTGATTTTTTTTTCTTTGTAGTTGGTTTTCAATGATGCAAGTTCTTTATACCAATAGTTCTTAGTAGGAGTGCCTTGCAAGGGAGCATACTTTTTTTCTGCTCTGCATAACACACTAATATCTATTTGTGTTTGGAATATCCCATTAGAATGGCTATCAAAGTTTGGATAGAGAGTTTGGAGAGATTCCATCCAAGTAATCCCTAGTACTGTGCTGAGCTGTGTATTGCTTTGTCCCTGAAGCTAAAAGAATGAAAAGAGTGAATCCAATAGAAAAGAATAGTAATCGTTTTACTAACCTTGACTGGAATCGTGTTGCCCAGACCGAGGTCAGAGGGTCTGGTATGGGACAGGGTTTACAGCAGCTGCGGAATGGGGCTCCGTTGGCTATATTGTTTTTGTGGGAAAGATGGATGGACAGTTGATGAAGGGAGGTTAAGCTTTCCCCATCCGCTAATGTCAGGCTGCTAGATGTTGCAAAGGTAACTGGAATGTCAACAAAAGTGGTTGTTCCCAGGCTATCTGAAGTATCTCTTAATTCCTTCAACCATTTGGGTGGATCACCAAGTACGTGATGCACCTGTGGCTTAGGCCAAACTGGATCTGGTTGGTCATCAGAAATAGAACTGACCCTCCATCACAGTTGCTGTAAAATTGGCATGCTGTTGAACTGAATGTTTAATTCAAAAGCAGTGAAGTAGATAGTTAATCAGATTGTTCTTGAAGGCATGAATTTTATTGACACCAGGTACCTAATAAACACTTCTTGGGCTGTAAGTGAAGCAGGCTGTAGGTCTAGGTTCTTTTTTTAGAAATGCATTTTGTATTGGCTTGCCACAGCTTGAAAGCTTAGGCTGAGAGAAACTACACAAGATACTTAAACCATCATCTGGAACTCATACTGGGGAATATCTGATGTCTGCAGGATTACTTTAGAGTAGATGTGGATAGCATTTCACTATAAAAGGATCCTTGGAAGAAGAAGGCATTATTATCCCATATTGCTGTGTCGGAGGGATCCTAACAATTTATTTTCCAAACCCTATTTACAGTATTTTTATTTCTTTTTCTTTTTCTTTAAACATTTTAAAGAAAGAACATAGACTAGTCAAAAGAATAAAAGGGAAAAATACAAATAGTAAGATGCAAATAAGAAAATGTGGGATAGAAAATGACATGATTACCATTTTTGATATATTGATTATTTATGAAACTACGAAATGTATTATGCTACTTTTTCAAGGAAAAACAAAATCATGATTAGCTTTAAGGATAGCTGCTTAACACAGTAAAAATCACTAATATTATTAGCTATAATAAATTAAATCTGCTCAAAATCTAGTTTCCCATGAAATTGAAATATAAACTCTATAGTATATGTAGAAAAGCTCAAATTTGGGGTGAAACATAAATCCATGTATTAAATTATAGTCCAGGAATGGTTTCCAGTTCGATTCTACATCAAATTTACTTTTTTGATGTGAAGTTATTCTGGACATTAAAGTATATTTCCACAACTTGGTTAGCCATTCCTTAGTAATATTTTTATTTAGAATTGTTTGTCAAACTTATAAACTGCCTAGGGAGCATGGTTACCATGAAAAGTGGACTATTAATAGGATAAATGAGGAAAATTGAATGAAAATCTTAATTTCTAGAGGTACAAAATTTCTTTTTCTTCTTAGGAACCTTCTCCTAACAACTCAGGAACTGGAGTAGACAGAGGATTGGTTTCCGTGCTTCGGCCTGAACAAACGGTGTGTACGTGGTATTTGCAAGCTGTGGATACGAACCAGGTGCTGAGCACAGCTGTTTCTTTTCCATACACTGAAAAAGGTATTTTCTCTCTCTCTCTCTCTCTCTCTCCTCTCCTTCCCTCCCCCCCCCCTCCTCCCCCCCCCCAAAGTTCACAAAACTTCTGCAAAGATACTTTGCAAAGTTTGGGATAAAATTGTGCAAGATTTCAAGGAAAAATAGCAAATGCTGCAAGATTTAGTGATATGAAATTCAAGCCATATATCTAGATCCATCATGGACCGTCAATAACAGCCTTAGTAACCATGGGTGGTACCTACCCTGAGACTGGGAGTTATTGCCATAAAGTTTTCCCTGGTCAGCCATGCTAGGAAGCACCGGTGTTTGAGGGAGGAATAAGAGTGACATCCTACACATCATGATGTCATTGCACAAATGACACAAATTATGTAATTTATAACATTATGTAATGTCACGATGGCTTCTACTGGATGCCCATGCTAGGGTACAAAATGTCTTAGGTTATATTTTTGCAGATTGTGCTAACCCATGATTAACTGAATTATGTTTTACCAAGTTACCCAACTGCTGGCTTTGCTCAGCCTGCTGTATCATATACTAACCACTTTGGTGGGCTTCCCACAACACATTGTGTTAGCAGCTAGTCTACTGTATTGTAGTTATTGTGTCACATCAACCCAGATTTAGTCTTTGTCCTTCTCTTTCAAATTCCTGATTGTGTTATTGTTTCACCCCATCTTTTTCATAGTCTAGAATCATCGATTTTATTGTGCTGAACTCTCACCCTTGTCTCACACTCCCCAATTCACACAATCTGTGGTGGAAGACAGACTTTCTGTTTCAGCTCAGCAAAGGTTTTACTGCAGAACAGGATTGATTTATACCTAGCATTAGCCAACCACACAAATATTCCTTCCATTGTGAAGCTAGTTCCAAAATCTGTTTCTGATTTGAACTTGCTAGTTGTATTCTCTCAACATGCTGAAGAGGAACTCTGAGGTAGCAAGGATACCTGCCGGGTCATTTTCAAGTCCCCATGATACCTCTTTAACCCAGGTGCTGTTTTTAAAAAACCTTAAGAAATAGCATCTAAGTTAAAGCAATCCAAGGTGGCATCTGTTTATTGGAGCAACCACACCTGGCTGCAGAAATATAGACAGCCACTAGATGGTAGCAGAGCATTTTCTGTTCATCTTGCTGCCATCTGATGGTCACCTGGATATTGGTAGCCCAGATCTGAAACTTGGTGACACGTGTTATATCGTTAAACGTGGTGCCATGCCCTGCGTTCTCATTACCTAGAGTTTCTTCTTCAGTGTATCACAGGAACACGGCTGTTGATTGGGTTTACACAGAATCTTAGGTCCTAATGAGATTTATTTTTAGTTTAGCATGTACACAGGGCAAACCATAATGGTCTCATCAATAAGCCAGTCTTAGCTAAACATTAGTGGGTGCCAGGCAGCATGTGCATGTTGGCACAAACATACTTCAAGCCATGGTTCAAGCTCCAGTTTCTGAAGGAACCAGGATTTATATTGTTAACCGTGGAACATTGAAAGGGCAGTATTGGAGAAGTTGCTACTTAGACTTAGTTGGGGGCTAGCATTGGGCTTGCCTTGGCTGAAGATAACTCAGTTGCATGCCATAATATTATCAAAGACAGTGGACAGAACATTGTTTCATTTTCACAAGTGGTTGAAGATCTATCATACCCCTTCTTACTCCAGTTGCTTGATTTTTTTCCACCTAGATCCAATTCCTGGAGGATGCAACTTAGAATTTAATTTGGAAACTGATCCCAATCTTTATCTAGAATATAACTGGGCTGAAACGCACATTATATTTGCTCCAGCAAATCTGGGATATACGAGGTATGTACAGTTGGCTGTTGTTCTTATGTGAGATACATAGACTTCAGAGCAAGATTGTTGATAAGGCTGTCTGTCAAGATATACTAGCTTTTTCTGGCTAGAAAGCAAGGAAAGTTAATGAAAACCTCTCCCTTTGTGGGGAAGACCCTAGAGCAGTGTTTCTCAACTTTGGCAACTTTAAGATGAGTGGACTTCCAGCTGAGATTGCGTGGCTACTCCTCAGACAAAATCCTCCATATTAAAGGATTTGCCACCATTAAACCAGAAAGAATCATTATTTTCCAGTTGACTTTACCATGATTTGTAGCAGCGACATACAGTTTAATTACACAAGGTGTAGCAGCAACTTACAAGTTCATTACCGAAGATACGAACCTGTGGTCTTCCAAATGTGGCTGAATGACACCGCTCAGCATTTTTTGTGCTTAGATCTGCTAGCTGGAGTTCTGCAGCTGCATTACAACAAAGTTAAAATCTCCCTCAAGCTGAGATCAGCTCGTGAACCTCATGGACATATCCATGTAGGTTTCTTGGCAGTGGTTCAGAAGTGGTTTTCCATTGTCTTTTTCCGTGATGTTTCTTACTGTCTGTCCCACACCACTGGTATTCTCTCATGGTCTCTCATCCAAGTCCTAACCAGGTTTGACTCTGCTGAGCATTTTGAGGTCAAGGAAGGTCAGCCAGTTGCCATCACCTGTTGAAATGCTCAACAGCATCTTGAGGTCCATAGGCTTCATTCTGTGTTTGAAATTATGCTTTTAAATGGCTGGGCAGGGCAGAACAAAGGATTCTAATGTATGGCTCTCAACCTAAACAAATTCTAATTTCCTACTATTATCTAGAGGTGCAAACCCGCCTTCATGTGATTCTGGGATGACTCTGGACTCCAGGTGGCGGCTATACTATGATGTCTATCAGTATTTTCTGCCAGAGAATGATTTATCTGAAGCCACATTTGTGAGTCATATGAGAAAAATGTCTGAGGTTCAGAGTATCCGAGATCATGGCTCTAAAGTAAGTCACACTGTTTTTCATTGAGGATGACTGATGTTTTTGCTACCTGTCATATGACTACTTAAATCCAATAAAGGCCTCTTAGAAACATTGATGGTTTGAGGTTTTTCAGTGGGAATCTTTTTATGAACATAAAAAACCTGTACTGTTTAACTGAAAATCAGTCTAGCTTAATTCTGAGACTGACTCACGAGAGTCTCTAGCTTTTAAAATTTCATTTCATTGGACATGCTTGAAGTTGAATTGATGACCTGTTGTACTCAAAGTAGTTTCCACTTCTTGCTTTTCTATCTGTCTGTCTGTCTGTCCGTCCATCCATCCTGAAAAATCCAATCTTTTTTCCCCAACCCAATGCATTGTTGGAAAGAAATTACACAGAGGGGTTCAGGACTCTGCCTGTCCATCAGGAAGATCACTCTGTGAAAATAGACTGGGACCAAATTAGTTGTGGGGGGAGACACCAGCAAAGAAACATCAAATTTGAAAATGGATTGGACTCATCCAGGGCTGTGGAGAAAAACATTCTAGAAAAAATTGCCCCAGTGCTTCTCCCAGTTGGACAGAACTCCTCCATTTTAATCCTCCCCACTCCTGGCCTGGTTGGTCCTGTCTCCCCTGCTTTTGAACATCTGTAGTGCAATACCATCAGCATATAGGGTCCTCCTATAGTCATTGGTGATAAATGGGTTGGAAAGAATTCCAGGAGACGTGCTCTGCATTGCCTCTGTGTTATTTTAAATTCCATGTGTTTTTATGTGATGTATGATCATTTCTTCATATCGCTCCTAATTGTCTTAACAGCCTTGGAGTTGAAAGGTGGGCTACCATTATTTTTAAACATAATCCAGTGGTTAAAAGGAAATCTTATATTCCTCTCTAAACCTGGAATATAGAATAAAGGGGGGGGGGTGTCTGTGAACCATTTTTTCTTCATGTGCCATATACTTTTTATGCCCTCACAGGTTATGACCTTAACCAGCCAAGACAGAACTGCCATGTACTTCTCTTCACTCCCTGGGCAAGGGGTAATCTACAACGTCATTGTGAGGGATCCTAGGTGGAACACTTCAGCTGCATATGTGCCTGTTCACACGTACGCATGTAGTTTCTCTGCCTTGGTGAATAACTGCTACACCTTCAGTAAGTCAACAGGGCGTTCAGAGTGGTCTAGGGGCATCCATGGGTGGTCAAAAAAGTCAAGATGGCAGCCACAACCGTGCAGTGAAAACCCTGCCCTTTTTTTACATGTATAATGATGGATTTTTAAACGGGGGAGGGGCTTCAGTCATGTGTTTGTTGCAGCAGCTTCCTTGATTTTTTTTTTAATCCCCTCCCTGCAAATGTCCCTATGGATTGTTTCAATTTCCTATATGTGCAACACAGGGAGGAAGAGGGCTACTTTTAACTTTTGCATTATTTCCCCAATGTCATCTTGATCCCATTCTTTTTAAGGTGACTTTGGATCATTCCTTTAAGTTACACATTCTAATACACGCTGTCTGGCTTTCTTCGTTCTTTGTTTCTGTGTTGTGTGGCCTCATCCAATGGAGGTGTATTCAGTAAATGAGTTTTAATATTTTTAATAGCAAATCCATAGTTAAACAAACAACGGTGGCTTAGAAGGATAGATGATCCAGATCTTATTTTTCTGTTGTATGAGATTGGGTGGAAAGGAGGGGGGAGCAGGGTAGAATCAACGCGTGGAAGTGCTTTCAGGGTTTGGAAGTGGGAGCTCGTCTATTGGTGCAATTAATAGAAATGAGCTGTTGACAGACCACAGTTTTGCGAATGATCTGAACGGAAGCTTAGAGGTAATATGTAAACCCAAACAAAGTGCATTGCTACTCTTCTTGGCCTGTTTTACAAAAGGGTATCCCCAATAATTTAACATCCATCTTTATATTTTGAGAATAGAGGCTGAGAGGAAAGGGACCTGGTAGGAGAGGTCAAGAGGAAGTTAAAATCTGTGTTGAATGAGTTTTATTAAACTTTCTTACAATATCAGGAAGACAACCTTGAGGTTAATAACAGCCAGGAATTCTGGAGGATGAATGGGTAATAGAGCTGAATTAGGTATAAGGCATTAGGATATATCTCCAGAGGGGTCTGTAGGATATGTTGAAAAAAGTCATGATGGTAGCTACAATGGTGTAACAGAAGCTCCGCACATAAAAAACAATCAGAGCTTAGATCTCATAATCGCGGCCACCATTCCAACTTTTTGACCGTACCCTGCAGATATCCTGCGAACATCTATGGTTTTTAACAACAGAGTATAATTTATTTCTCCAAGTAGTCTGATAACTGTAGAATAAAGAGCTTAATCTATTCCTCCTACACCCCTCCCCTTATCTGCTCTGGAAGGTCCCCCTCTCAAGCTGATGAGGTGAAGCCGCATTTGTTGATGAGAAAACATGATTATAAACAATATTCTAATTCTGATTCTCTTTTCTTTTTATAGGAAAGTTGTCCTATAAAATATTTTTCACCACGTTGGCTGTTCTCGGCCTGTTTATCTGTTTCCTTGGACACAGATTCTGGAAAACAGGTATTGTTAGGATGTGTGTTTGATTCAGAGGTAGACTATTCCCATCAGGGTTGATCTTGCCCAGTATCGATCCTGTGGGGTTGTCTAATTGATAAGAAAGATAGAATCTGGAGTCTTGCTCAACATTTTGAAAAAATGTGACATGTGCTTCTCATTTTAATCCAGAGAAACATTTCATAACTGTTGTGGAGAGAAAATCCATTTCTAATGGAACAGGTTTAAGAAATGTTGGAACCCCAGTTTCCATCCAGCTTGACCAGGATAGTCAGTCTATCCAATTAGATCAGTGTTTCTCAACCTTGGCAACTTTCAGAGGTGTGGACTTCAACTCCCAAAATTCCCCAGCCAGCCTTGCTGGCTGGGGAATTCTGGGAGTTGAAGTCCACACCTCTGAAAGTTGCCAAGATTGAGACACACTGAGTTAGATAGACATAAAGAGACAGAGGGTACCAGTGCTGCTCCTTGTGATTGTGAACCCGTGTGGGC